ACCTAGCAAACAGCCATGTCACCAGGGCGTGGTGCTCGACATGGGGGGACGATGCCACATCCACCCGCGTGCCGCCGAGCTTGCCTGCAAGCGGCTTTTCCAGCATTTTGCAGCTGCCTCGGGGAAGAGCCAGCAATCGGCGTTTCCCAGCTCTGCTCCTCCGAGGTAAGGCAAGCTCCCAGGTGTGTTTGGGGACGCAGGGGCGGCACGTTGCCGAACTGTGGCACTTGGGGTGCTGCCCTGATGAGGGTGTGGGGGCTGCCTGCATGGCCAGGGGTGGCTGGGATTGCCTGGGAGCCAGGACCAGCCGTGTATCCCTTCCTGGGACTCCCTCCTCGTGCAAAGGAGTCACCTGCTGTGCCCAGGGCCACCAAGTCCTGCAACAAAACTTCCTGGGGCACTTGCCCTCGCACCCCAGCAGTGTGCAGTTTGGGCACACCAGCCTGGTGTGGTGGCTGGGGCGATGTGGCCACACAAAACTCCTTCTGGGAGCATCCCCCTCTGTGAAATCCTGCTGGACCCTCCGCCAGCTGACACGGCTTGAGAGGACAGACCCTGACCCCCATCCACTGTCTGGTGCGAGCCATGGGGTCCCTGGCGCTCCCTGGCATGGGGAGGGAGGCTCCTCAAGTCTTGGACCAACAGGCTCTTTTGCATGCTGGAATATGCTCTGGCAAAGATAAAAATCTCACCTCGGGTTATTTTTGTTGCTGCAGCAGGAGACTTGGGTACCACTGCCAGCTGGGCCTTTCCCAAATCCAAGTGCAGCTCCTCGGCTAAAACCCCGGCTCGCTCCCAGCCCGGAGGTTTGGCCCTGCGGGAGCGGCACAGCTTCCCTATGCCGGTGCCGTGGACCCCGGTGAGGGCCCCAGCCCCGTGCCGCTCCAAACCGCCAGGGCCAGTGGGGGGGAGCCTCCGCACAGCCCGGCCTGGGTGCCAAACCAGCATCACCCTGACAGAGGGACAGTACTGGCCCCAGCTGTCACCCTGCTCCGTGTGTCCCAGCTCCTGCTGGGACAGGAGCAGCTCTTGGAGAGACATCTGAAATGGGTGATGACTACGCTGGAGGGAGATGAAGCTGGTGCCATCATGTCCATATGGCATTTCTAGAGCAGAGCCCAGCCTGGGACAGCTTGGCTGGGCTTCATGCATGAGGAGGACAAGGGTCCGGCATGAGCTGAGGTACCACAGGGGCATAAGGACTCCTAAAGGAGACAGCTGGGAATGGATGGTCCTAGGGACCTCCATCTCCACCTGCATCTTGACATGGGCAGCACCTGGTGACCTGCTCAGCTCAGTGGTGGCTTTAGCATCCCGATGCAGTGGATGGCTCCCAGTCAGGAGCTGGGAGCTGCTTCACTGGAAGGACCCTGGGATCATGGTTCGAGCAGTGTCCTGCCTTACCCAGGGCTTGTGGGAAGCCACCATATGAGGGCAAGGCTGTGAGAAGAGCAGCCACCCGACCATGGGGGTGGCTAAGAGGAGGATGGTGTGGGAGAACAGGAAAAGGACGTGGCTGCTGGGTGCTGTTTGTCCAGCACAGACAAGCTGGTGCTGGGAGATGTGGAGTTACTGGACCGGGTGGCACAGTTGGTGCCACGGCTTGGCAGCTGAGCCCTAGGACCTGGAGGTGGGCTGTGTCTCCAGAGCGGTCCTGTCATGCGGAGATAGCTGGAACTGCTCCAAAAGTAAAGACAAGTCTTGCAAGCCCTAACTGGGAGCAGCTGCTGACCACCCACAAGTCCGCGTGGAAGGGCCAGGGGAGCAGGGAATGAAGACAGGCAGTTGGCAACCTGTTTCTGCCTCAAATTCTCATACTGGGACTAAAAACCTGCTAAGCTGGGTAAGATGACTCCAAATACCTCTTGAGATGCCAGCCACAGTCCCGTTTCAGCTGTGGAGGCTGGCTTTTGCTGTTATCATGATTGGCAGCTGTCACTCATTTCAGATGAGGCTTTGCGAGGTGCGGGTCAAAGTCCAGGTCCTTTCTTGCCATGTGCTCAGGTTGCGTGCCAAGGACTTGAGCCCCTGGGGAGAAACGGCCTAATTTTACTTGGGCTTTAAGGCTGAGCACGACCATCTTAAATATCTGCACATCATCTTCCATAAGCCTGTCCCTGTGAGGGGGCTGGATGCGGAGAAAGGCAGATTTGTCCTCGGTTGCCCCAAAACTCTGTGCAGAGCCTGGGTTTGTACTTTGGGAACCCTCAGTCTCACAAAGGTGGTCACCCCATGGTACCCACCCAGCGGTGCTGGGACACAGGGCATGACATGCTGCCATCTCCCAGGACCCCCAGCTTGAGAGAAGAAGATGCTAGTGCTGAGCGGGGACTGAAAACAATGGGTATTTCTCCCAGCCAGGCTCCAGCGATGGTGCCAAGCCCATACAGCAGGTCTGAGGTGTGTGCTGGGTCCCTGGGACTCCTGGCACCTCGTGCCTGGGGCTTTCTCAGCTCATTGACCCCC